ATAAGGACCCATATAAAGGCCGTGAAGGCGCCCAGCTGTAGAACCCATTGTAACTATTCTTCCCTAAAATATACTCTATCACGCGGGTATGGATAGCCTGTGGGGAAGTTATGAGAATGACTGGAAGTCAGTCATATAACTGAGTATGAAATTTAGATGCATTGAACAGCATATTGAGTACGGGGTTTGGACAAGGGTAATTTATTTGAGCTTACCAGCATTTTGATGATTTTGAAAAAAGATAAGTGGCGAGGAAGAATTTACTTAGTCTAAAGTACGTTTTCACTGTAGATTTTCTACTCCCATAGTCAGTTTCGAGAATCAGTCATATCAAATAAATATCCAGTTGGCGTCTTTTCTTTATTCTGCAATTTTGCTAATTATTTCTTACAGAGTATGAAGCTGTTATATCTTTTGAAAACTGAAAAATCTTACAAAGTCTCTAGTTTATTTGAAGCTAATCTAAAAATTTTCTTTTCTTTAAAATTTTCCTAATTAAAATAGTTTCATCGGCTATCGGGCAATAAAGGTGGAAGATGTAACAACAGGTTCGACTTTGTGTTCTTATCATTTTGCAATGTTGAAAAGGCGCAGTTTACTATTATTCTCTCTCTTTTCCTCGCTATCTTTCTTTCTCTCTCAGAAGCTTCGCTTTCCGTAGAGACAGTGTTTAGAGAATTGAGAAGCTTTTCAGAGTTTTGACATGTTCTTCTAATCACCTCCGGGGGCCAGAGGGATTACTTTGAATGATAGTAGCATTATCGCGCATCAGCATACATTGAGATAGTTACACTAAACGAGAAAGCATTTATCACACCTACTTTTGAATTATGTGCGAATTGTTCCTTTTTTTTGTAGCAGAATCTTTTCTCTCGATCACTAAAGAGAAAATTCCAACCAAGAGAATGAAAGCTGTAATCATTCAAAACCTTCCTCGATTTAGAGTGGACCGCGGTAGGACCGCGCTAGAAGCTTAAGAGTTTTTTGATTTGCAAATAAAATTTCGTAGATAAGCACATTGTCATAATTTTCTTACGGGCTTTGTATAGCATATCAGATGGAATCGACGTAATCGCCATAAACATAAGGATTTAAGTAATTGGGGTCTTATTCAA